CTCTGTCAGACATAGGGGAAGCTTCTAGCAGCTTCTCACAGAAGCCACCCTTGTAGGCCCCCCGCTACTGAAATCTTGCCATGCAAACCCAATACAGACACAAATCTGGTTTCTGGCTCTGGCACCTTGGTCTTGAAGGAGGGGCTGGAGAGCCACCTGCCTCACACAGGCAAGCTGGCAGCAGTCATCAAAAACATACCAATGAGTGCCTAAAAATCAGAGCCAGATTAGACCAGAACCAACTCCCGCACTTCTTCCAGTTCTGGTCTTCCCCTCCTGCAAATGAACAGGAAAGCCTGGTGCCGTAACACAGACTGTCAAGGAGGTCCAGTGAAGTGCCCCAGCCTGCTCCCTTTCATGGGCTCAATTAAAAGAATAAGCAGCTAAAGCTTAACTTGTTTCTGCATTTGGAGAATGCACAGTGAGGTCTCTAGGGCACAGGAATTACTTGGGAGAGTCAATAAATAACACTTAAGGGATTCATGAATCAAGATTGACACTGGAGTTAGGCTGTGGATTCCACTCTGCCTGACAAACTCATCAGCGCTGCCTCAGCCTGAACGAGCCTCTCTAATCTCTACCCCGGTTCCTCAAGGTGGGGGTACTGGCTTTGTGAGACCAGAGAGAAGGCAGGCATCCTGACTGAAAGCTCCTTCACCCAAAACTGCCCTTGCTGAAGGGCTTTGGGGAGCTTGTGATCCCCTACAGACCAAAGGCTATTGAAATCACCCTTCAGGAGAGATTAAAAGACACCAGGAAAAGAATCCTCCTTTCCTTGCCAAGATGCTAGCACCTGGCAGACTTGTGGCTGCTGCCCCTCCTCTGTGAGAGGCCTCAGCAGGAGGCTGGCAGAGGGCCAGGGGGATGGGCCCACATTAATGGAAATGAAAACCCACACACTTTGTAGATGGCACAATGGAAGCTGTAGGCAGGAATTTTTTATTCTGCTCATCTGTTTTCTTTGCATTCGACTAGAAGTGAATTTCGTAGGGCAAAGGAAAAAAAGATTTTGCTTGGTGCAATCCAGGCATCACCTTCCCCAGTGAATACACTGCTTCCTAAGCCTGTTTGCAGAAGGGATTGCAGGGCTGTATTCATGCACCTTTGATACATAATCTCCATGTTGCTGGGTAAGCAGCCCTGCCGCAGAGGAGCATTAGCAGCTTAAATGGTTTGCTGTAAGAAGGGGCTCAGCCAGGGAGGGGACACTTTTGCTCTACTATGACACACACCTGTGCAAAAGAACAAGCCCTCAGGCAAGGTAGACCTTTTCACTGAGCTTTGTCTTTGTAATATAGGGACTGGCAGATACTCAAGCCTAGAAATGGAGAGGATATTTACCCAAAGACAGAGAAAGCCTACCCTTAGTGGCCAGATGATTTGCTGAGTGGAGATGAGTGAAGGTGAGTGTTTGGGCCTCCACACATTTAAACATACCTCCTGAATACAGCCTTGTCAAACACAAGAAGCCATTTCTGTTCCCCTTTGCAAGAGGAGGAAGAGCACAAGCAAGGCATATGGGGGTATTACAGAATTGTGACTCTGAATTGTGTATGGATTACATACTGTCCTTCGCCAATGCAACACTTCTCTTCCTTGCTCTGCAACAATATTGACCAGCACAACATGGAAACGAGCAGTGAGATGCTGCTGGGTAATCCCTCTGGTTCCCACAGCAGTCTGGTACAGAATTTTGTAGCAGTTTGTGTTTTATGATACCACCAGATTTTCAGCAGACCATAGATTAATATACTAGCGAGATCACACTGCCTTGAGGGAAGATGGGGAAGAGCTGGGAAAGACTGCGCTTTGAGTCTTTGAGCCAACGAGGCAGCAGAGGTTTTCCCACTAGGTGTGCCTCCTTTTCTTGTACACGAGAGCAGTCACTTAAAATCTGTGGGAGAATGAAGGGCTAAAACATAGGATGGGACTTAATTCTGTACTGCTGACAGCAGTCAGCCACCTTACTTGTCTCCTGACCACCTCTGCCCAACCTTTATAGCCAAACATATTAAAATGACAGTTCTGCTAAAATTATCAGCTATTGAAAAGGTAAAACATTGCTATCTTAGGGCAGCATTTCATATCTGATTTTATCCTTGAAGAAGCTCCACAGCTTCAAGCAGACAGTAAGGTGCAGTGTTATGTTTTTTAAGCTTAATCCATCAACAAAAAGATGAAAAACTTCCCCTCACTCTCTTCCTGACAGTGTAAAATCTGGGGCATAATTACAGAGGAAATTCCACAGAAATGCAGAATGACTGAAAATGTAGAGCTGTGCCACTCACAGGAGTCTTACCTAGGGCTCTATTGATCCCCTGATCCTTTGCAAGTGCCATAAGGAATCCATAGAAGGTCAGTCTCTGTGCACTACTCAACATTTCCTTCACAAGAGCAGAAGGTGGACAGCTAGGAAAACAGAGACAAAGGGGTCATCTTGTCTTTTAAATTATCATCTTTTTTTTTTCCCAAGACCCAGCCCAAAATGGAGAAATAAACCCTTTTACCTGTTCTAACACTGTCAAGTTGCCCTGACTCAGTTTAAAACAAATAGCTACCACTTGCTTATTTAGCATTGCATCTGCTCCTCATTTGCTAAGCAAGATGTTTGAGCTGGGATACTTCCCTAAGAGCAGTCTTAGCTGTCTCCGTTCCAAGGACAGGGAGAAAAGCCCAGATTCACTCAGAGGCATACATGTCCCAACTCAGCATATTCTTTCAAAAATCAACTGGGAAATAAACTTTCACAAGGGTTGTTATGTTGTTATCACCCTTTTATCAGTGATAGTCATCCAAGGAGCAGGAAAACCTCTCCAATGATAACCTAAATATGTCAGAAAACAATATTTAGGTGGGGACTAAATTGACATGTCCCCTTCTTCTACACTCACATTAACCCCTGTCCCTGACTTCTAAGCAATATCTTCATAGTGTTTCTTGCTCTTGCCTAATACTCCTTAAAGGGTTTTGTGCAAAATAAAACTGCCTCATAAAGAGGAAGTGTTGAACAGTCCGTGGTGTAGTGGCACCCCTGGGATAGGTATATGGATGTGGGCTGGTGATCTCTCAGGCAAAGGTGGTTACCAAAGCCTGGCTGAGTGCTGAGCTACTGGATGAAAGGCTGCGAACGGCTCCCCTCGCAGTGCTGTGCAGAGCCTGACCTATCAGATGGGCTTACAGTATTCTTCCCATCTGAAGCTCTCAGGACATACAGGGAATGTAGAGCTTTTGTTATTTAAAAGAACAAAACAGCCTGGCATCTCAGTGCTTAGCTATTATAGTACTGGACAGCAGTTCAGCAGTAATTTTGTGGATCACAAATTTGGATTAAGGCATCTAAAGCAGGAGTCAGGTGGAACTTGTGTCCTGAGTCTTTCTGTGGATCTAGCTCATGGTCTTCTAGCAGGGCACATGCTCACTACCTGCAAGAAACTATGGAGAAAATGTCTGTCAAAGCTATACAATAAGGTCTGGTATTGCTCCATCTCCTGCTGAAGTGCCTGGGATCTGTAACTGGAGACCAGCTCTATCACAGGCTCAGGTACAGACTAGCAGTGTGATCTTGTCTAGGTACTAAGACTTCAAACTCCATCCACCCCAGTGTCCCTTTCCTATGTTTCGACACCCAAGAACATAACTGCACTTGCTTATCTCCTCTAGTTAACTCATGATTGCAGATGGACCTCTCCTTGATGAAAGTGTTAATGCAGAAGTAAGAAGGAAAGCAGAGACCCAAAATCAATCCATTCCTTCAAGAATCATCTCAAACCCCATGTTTCTTAGGTCCATTAAATTGTTTCATAGCGGTTCGGCTATGATCTCTCCCTTCACACTTCTCCAATGAGATCTATGTGGGAGTTACAGCTTGTTCAAAGTCCTGTATTTCTTCACAGCTCCAACCTTACAAAGGGTCTCCAGAGACACAGACTTCAAATCTGGGTTTTGGACTCCATTCGTACCTGTATTTTGATCTGTCACACAAGGACTCTAGGCACTGGTAGAAGAGAGATGCCTCTACCCCATCAAGTGGGCTGCAGTCATTTGGGAGTTGGCGCTGCCGATGTTGCCCAGAGGATGACGTTGGCACAATCACAGTATTTGGATTCTTACCAGCCAGTAGATCTTGATAAATGGCAGCCACACTTTCCAAGAACTCTGAAAAAAACAGAAAGCAACTCAAAACTCAGGGCTATAACCAGCAAAGCATCCTCCTGACCTGCCAGACCTGGGATTAAACTGTCATTCCCTGCTCTGTGTTGTACATAGCACCAACAGGAAATAAGCACAACACTATGGCATCCTGCATATTCAGATCAGATATTATGCAAGCAGAATCAGCCATTTCCATATAAGTTGATGGCTTCTTCCTGTCAGGGTGATTATGAGAGGCCACTCACTCTTGGCTGATTATGAAAGGCCACTCACTCTGTTGAACAAGGTTCTTCTCAAGGGAACAGAGGCTAGCTAGCACACGGATAAAAAAGCAGAGTGTGAAAGCTAACGTCGAGCACAAAACTAGTTTACAAAGTCTAAAAAGTTTTCCTTCTCCGCCTCTTGCCACTGACTAAGAACTCATCCAAGTTGGGAACAAACTATATGGAACTGCAACAGGAGGAAAGGGAGCAAGTTAGTCAGGGCTCCAGGCTGTATCCCAGCTTGTCTCTGTACTGCTCCAAAGTAAATATAACACGGGATCTAGAGGAAGGGCCAGGGCAGGTCAGGGCTAGAGTTGGCAGAAAGCCTCCCCCCAGGCTCCTCATACTACCCACTGTTTACTGCAAGAGTCTAATTTTAAACAAGTTTGTTTATGGATGTGGTCAGCAGTTTACAAATCTAGATTCCATTTGGAGTGGTTTGCATGTGTGTGGGTTGGTGGGAGAGCATATGACAAGCTGCATGTGTGCATTGTGCCTGGGTGAACAGGACAGCGATGGGATGTTTGAGTGTGTGTACACAAGGGCGGGCTTGTGAGGACTCCAGTGGCATTTAAGTCCCAAGTGAATGGAAGTGTAATGCTGTGCATGAGGCGGGTGGAGAGGAAAGGCAGGATGTCAGCAGGTCCTGAGGCCGTCTGGAGGCTCTGCAGCTGAGTGGAAATATTTGTTATATCAGAGAAAAAATTTCCCAACACATTTTCTGTCCCTGGCTAAAGGTATTACAAGCCTGGTTCTGCCCAACCCAAAATCACCATTTTGAACTGCTTTTCTTTGAGGAATTATCATGGATAATGTTGCAATATGCACAGGGGAGTTACAAGGAAAGTATATACAGAGAAGTACTGAGAAAAAGAGATTTTTGTGTTAGGGATAGCAGCTGACTCTTAACTGCTAGAAAGATGGTAACTGACAGGTTGGATCAGATCAGCAGGCCACCCAAGCCTACTCTCTGACCACAGACTATGCTCCACCACAGCTTCTAGCCAGTGTCTCCCAATATCCAAACCTGGCCCCTTTTGCCTGGTCGAGGCCAATTGTGAGCTACGTCCATCAGAGGGAGCTATTTAAGCGTGAGTGGACAGAAATCCATGAGCTTATGTTGTCTTTAGAAAGTGCTCTGTGCTGGGAGATAAATAAGTAAGTGGCACCCCAGCAGTCCTCAGTGCTTGGGAGCATATCTAACTTTGATAAAGGAAATGCTTCCCTCTTTTTGCCCACTTAAGCAGTTCCCTGAATGAGATTCCCCTTCCTCAACCACATTTTAGGGGAGCTAGGACAAACAGGCTAATGTATTTTAAAGCAGTCTCCCTGTACAGAACAAGCACCTGAATGCTCATCCAAGTTTCTCCCCCTTGTGTCCTGAACTTTAATTTAAAAATACCTGGGGATTTTTACAGAAGTATATGTGTGGGTGAGCATATGTAAATATACACACACACAAGCTAATATTATTTGATTTGTACTTTTCCTGTCAAGAATTTTAAAAGAAGTACCCCACCTAGTTAAAACTCAAACTGGAGGAGAGGGGTAGAATATGATAAATGGCCAACAATATGAAGAAGGTAGATGGGGATTAACTGTTCACTTTCCCTTCCAACTATGGTCTCCCAAATCAAACAAGAGAGGTGGTTCTTCACGGGACAGGTGGCAGACCTGTGCAACTCCTTGTCAAAAGGTGTTGTGAAGGTTACAAGTTTATGTGATTTCAAGGGGAGGCTGAAGAAGTTCTTGTGAGAGGAGTCCACTGGGGGTTCCTAAATCCATGGAAACTATACCCAGTTCAGAAACTCTTTGAGCTGAAACCAGTTCATAGTTGGGTGAGTACTAGGGGAAAGAATTGTATCCATTTGTCCAGTTCCTTTTCGTTTCAAGGCACCAGCTGGTGGGCTTTTCTTATCCTGTCTCCAGCAGGGACCAATACTTCAGAGGCAGAAATGTTGTATTAAGGAAAGCAAGAAAAATGTTCCTAGTAAAAGTTAATTGTTAAGTGCTAACATACTCTAGATAAAGCTGGAAATTTATGTCTCAAGGCTAAGACAAATACATGCATAAGCCATAACAGTTGTAGGTATCTTGTCATTCACAAAAATTTGGAACCTCCTTATGAAGCCTCCTAATCTCAGCATCAGTGATGCCTTTTGTCAGTAGATTCCATTATCTATATATTTTCTGTGAAAAAACATATCCTTGCAAGTTTCAAAAAAGTGCAGGGATTGGGAAGCTGTAAAGTTGTAATGCTGTACTAGTGGGTGAAGTCAGCAGCTTCCCATCATTTACCTGAGTAGTAGAACTGAATCTGGAAAGCAAAGAGGAAATCAGAAAAAGACATCAGGCAATCCATAGCATCATCCATCAGCACAATCCTAGGATAAGATGAGAGAAACAGTTTAGCATCTACAAACAAACTGAAGTCTGTAACCAGGAACCCCAGATCTACAGAAAGTGCAGCTAGGGAGCTATGTGCAACTGAGGATTGCTGGTGGTTTGGCCCAGTATAAGAGGTTAGGAGAGCAAGAAAAGATCCTGAATGTCAGTGCTATCACACAGTTCAGCTACAGTGCGAACAGAGGAGTGAGACATGGATGTCAAGCATTCAAAGCCTTGTGGACACAATGGAACGAACACTAGCATAAAAACTGCAAGGCTGGTTCACATGCCTATATAAAGAGTAACTGTGCTACAGACAAGACAGTTACACAAGTATTAAACTGGTGTAAACAGAACGAGACTTATGCTATTCCTCTGTATACCAGAGTTCATGAAAATTTTCAGATTCATAAGGATAACAACAATTATTAATTCCCAATCTATACCCAAACAAACTCCACTTGACTACAGAGGAAATAACATTGCACCAACAATCAGCTTTCTAATTACAACCTGTTAACATCCTATCCTCCCTTCCTGATGAATGAATCTGTCTCTTTTCATATCTATCAGGTCTATCATTTGACTATCAGATCAAATTTCATGGAAACTGAAGACTTCTTGGGCTAGGGACAATGTCTTCTTTCTCTCTGCTAGATGCTCCCTACAGGTACATGTAGGGAGCTACATGGATCCCTATTTTGAAGCATACTTCATGAATACGGAAAGTATCAGCCACAGGCCATAAAGATGAACTATAAGTGATAGCAAAGTCCAACTTCTCATTTCAGGAAAAAACCTCTGGATTTTAGAAGTAAGTTAAGGCAAAAATGTTCATCAAAATGAAAACAAAACCCGTCCTCTGGTCACTGCCACTACATAAGGATGAAAAGGTCAGTTTCTGAAGTGGGGAAAATCAAACCTGAGCTGATCAATGTCAGCTCAGACTGGAAAACAGAAAGAAATGCTCCACTTTGATGGGAAAAAACAGAGTATTCAGATGATGCCAAAGAAAGGTAGTTGGTACTTCTTTTTAGCTGTGTGCAGGTCTGCTGACCCGGTACAGTCAGTATCTGGCATATCATGTCATATAAGAAGGATTACCAGTTCCTTATAGCCAAGGTATAGGTCATCTAATAGGACCCTTTTGAACATGGGCCCAAATGCAGTCCACGGACCAGCTCATGCAGCATCAATGGTGTAAACACATTGCTGGGGAAACACTGTTCTGTCTCATGTAAAAGACTCCAGGGGGCTGTGTGGGAGGCTAACCCAGAAGAGTTATAGGATCTTGCAAGACTTCCCTGCCACTCAGACCAGTTCTGTTCACTGTGGCAAAATCAAACATGCAGAGCAGCTTGAATTAATTATCTCAAAGAAGAAAGACTGGGGCTAAGAGGGTCCCCAGGAGAAAAGCCAGTATTTAAAACAAAACCCTTTGAAGATGTCAAAGTGCTTCTGATTTATTTATTATGTTCCAGAAGCCTCCTCCTCCTTCTGTCTAAAGAAGCAGTAGCTTCAGTTCTTAATTCTCACTAATAAGCGTGTTACTGGGATTGTCAGTGGCCACATCAAGGAAATGGCTTTGAAGCTGGCAGGCAGAGCATCTTCATCTCTCAGGCAATACTGCTCAGCCACTGGCATTTCCAACCACTATTGAAGCACTGAAATGCGATGGGCCACCTCACTGATGAGCTGCACTCCCTCCTTTGAAATGATGGTCTGTCTCCCAGATACCCTAAAGCACAAGCTCCAAAGCTTTTGTCAGTGCATTTCTCCATCCTGGAGATGTGGGAGAAGAACAGTGGGGAGGTTTTTTTATGTATTCATTATGCAGAGAGACAATATTACATCACCTTCATGACAATCAACTGATTTCACTTGTTAAATCTAAAGCTATGGTCAATGGCTGTGCTCTGCAGCACCAAGTCCCAGTCTCTGTCTTAGAGGAGAGAGCATGAGGAAGCAGGCAGAGGTCTGAGAATTTGCTGGACATTTCTTGCTGTTAAAGTCAGGAGCCTCTAAGGAAGACTGTACGGCACATATGTGACGGAGGAGCGCCTAAATAGAAGCAGGTGCACTCTGGTGCTGGGTTACTGACTCCACTTGGCCCAGCAGTCTGCACTCCGGAAATGTTGAAAAGTCTTTAAATCCAATACAATCATTTATGAGGAGATTGACTGCAGCTGGCTATTTCCCCACACAGCCAGCTGACTGAGCAGTCAGGGAAGCTGGGAGAGCATCATATCTGCACCTCTTCCCTGAAATACCTAGCAAGGAGAGAATCCTAGCCATGGACTATAACCCAGACAGGAGGATCAAAATTGAGGACAAAATCTGAAAGTCTGAACTGCAACTCAAAAGAGTTTATCAGGTAGCTGATATTTCAAGGGATTCTTTATTCATCCTTTCTTGTCCAAATTAGACTTTTAGCCCTCAGGGGCACAGACTTATTTACAAAGTTAGTAGTCAGCACTCAACGAATAATGAAAATCAAGGAGAAACTTTGGAAAGGACTGAAGAAAGATGCCTACACTTGAGGAACTCTGGTAAAGGGTGCAGTGGTCTTTCAGGGTTCAAGTGGGTTTGGCTGGCAAGAAAGCTTTGCTACTGTGCCAATGGGGAAACTTTATGATCTACTGATTGCGGTTAAAATCTTAGAAACCCAGACTAGACAGGATGTCCCCAGGACAAACTCTAGACCAGGCAAGTTGAAAGGACTTTTACTGTTCTCTGCTACCATTAAAGGTTAACTGACACAATCTGTCTTATGGCCAGGCTGGCTCAAATGAGTCTTCAGAGACTTGGTTTGTTTACTGATACATGGAGGCAAAAATAAGCAGAACACACAAAAAGGGCAAGATCTGCACTCTCAGGCAATCTTTTAACAACAGGGGTACAGACTTGCAAGCCCCACTGCCATTAGCACTGATCAGTGCAACATGAGCTCCCATACCACACAGAACAGTACAGGAGCTGTGAACTACTCAGCTCCAGCTACTTGAATGCGGGCAGCGAGTTCCTTGTGTTTCTGTTACAAGAGAAAAGTCAGTGTTCAGGTACAGATCTTGAAATCATGGCATCAAACCAGAAAAATACCTTCATTTTCTGTCCTTCTGCAACTGCAAGATTCAGAAAGCCAAAAGGTGTCTCTGAAGATCAAAGGTATGTCTGTAGATTAAAATCTTCAAATCTGCTAATGGCTAAAGCCCTTTGAAGACAAAAACATCCAAGAAATCTCACAGACACAGATAGATTGGTTCTTTTTTGGGTATGACTTCTGCATTTGTGTGGCACCAGGAACAGAAAATGAAGCTCTCTGGTGTAATGCTAATAAAACCTATATTGTTGTAGCCTCTGTTCTTCTGCTCTGACATTTCCTGATCTTACTCCCAGTGTTTGTTATCAGTGCATAGCAACAGCTCCTGGACAAGTGAAGTGCACCGTGCTGTGAGATCATCTCAGTCATGTAGCACTGAGACTACAACTATGACTGCTCTCTTCCCAAGAGCGCCAATAATTACACAGGTCCTGGCTGTATCAGTGAATACTGTGGCTACTCCTGCCGCTACTTTATTTAATTCCTTCCCCAAGCAAATTAGCAACAAAGCCGTCGGGGGTGTGCAGACTGAAGGAGGAACAATGTCAGTAGGTTTGCATGTAACATTCATGCTTTGCAAGGACTCAGTCAAGTGGTGTCAGAAGACAGCCTGCAGAGTTCACCTTTCTAACTGGCAGAGACCAAGGAGGACAATGGGAAGTGTAGACCAGAAAAAAGACAAGAGAGCGAGCAACACTTGGAAGGAAAGATGGTTTAGAAATATGACAAGTTTTATTAAAATTGTTCAAATAGATTAGCTTGTAACAGAATAATAGCAATGTGGAAGTAAATCTCTAGCCAGCCAAAAGTAGGAGTGAGGTCATCCCCACCTGAGCCTGGGCGCCTCTGACAGAGATCTCGTTTCTCTCCAACACCTGCTCCCAAAGCCTGCTTGTCTGTCTCTACAGCACACGCACAACAGTGCAGCAGGCCCCTGAATGGGGCCTCTAGTTTACAACAGCCTTGTGGATTAAATTCCTCGACACAAACATCATAACATGTGTAGATATGCTGAAGTCTTCTTTCATGCACCATCACAAATTCTTGCTCAGCTCAGCTGGAACCCTGTGAAATACACACCAGCACATGGGACTGGCGTTTTTGTACCTCCATGAAAGGAAGCAGCAGACATATCCCTGCTACAGGGTTACCATTCTTTCTTAGTCTGGCACTGGAGGACAAGCAACTGTACACTGTGGAGCTTCAAAGGCCCACTGATGAGCTAGAGGGAAAAGTGGTGCTCAACTTTTAGTTTTAATTCAACCAACTCAGCTTTAACTGAAGTTCAGTTCAGATAGCAGCACACAGGAGCCAGGGAAGAATCCAGAGAATCAGCCAAGTGGAAGTAGTAGAAGATGGATAACACTTCTCTTTTTCACTCTCCTTTCTTAATACAATTTTAATGGGACTCTGATGCTGAAGAAAGATGACAGAATGACAAATAGAAAATGAGGACCTTTTCATTATTTAGGCCATGAACAACTTAAGCAACAGCTAATATCCCGATCATGTGCCTGGATTCTGTTTCCAAATGTCATCTCTAGGTCCATGAAAAAAGTTACATTTCCATGCCCCCTGTGCTAAGATGGCTAGGAATGAGAACTTTTATTCAGTAACCTTGCTGTGATTATATATGTGTGTGTGTATGCGCACGCACTCCTACTGAGATCTGAACTGACCCCCCACCCCAACAGATGCATATACCTTATTACATTTTCACTATCAGATAGTTAATAATCAACTGCCTGGGCTGGACTGGAACCAGCAAGCACTATCAGTAAAAAATTCCATATCACTTTATCAGTGCCCTGAGCACTGTTTATTATCTGGTTTAGGCCTTGTCTAGATTAAAATAAAATTTCAAACAGATTAGCTACCATGTTCTTAGCTAACGCACTTTAAAACAATCCTTCACAGGTTGGTACCTTTTAAACCTGATCAACCATAGGAAGCTGGGGCATGGGGGAACACATTTTAAAAATTGTAAACATTATTTAAAATAGAGTTTAAAATCATGTCAGTTAAAAACACATTGGCTAACATTCTTTTATATGCAACTCATCTTCTGAACTTAGAGCCAGCAGCAGCATTCTGCACTGATATTTCAGTCCCTGTATACCTTAAATATACACTCTTT